AACACACTTAAGAGACCTAGGATCCAATTTACCACAGTGGGGTGAATGATTTTGGACAAAACAAACACATCTAAAAGTCTTAGGTGGAATGGAGAACCCATAGGAGGTGGATTCGAACAAACCTTGAAGAGGGGTTTGTTCTTGAAAGAATTGGGTAGGAAGATGATTAATCAAATAAGCTACAATGAGAACCGCTTCCCCCCAATAGGATCGAGGAACACGCATTTTGAACGATAGACAACGGGCCACATCAGAGAGATTGGGATTTTTTTCGTTCGGCAACACCATTTTGTTGAGGGGTATTAGTGCATGAAGTTTGATGAACGATGCCATGAGTTGTGAAATAATTGGCAAGACCAGAGTCAATATATTCCCTCTCTTATCAGAACGCAAAATTTTGAGAACCGCTCCAAACTGAGTGCAAACCATTTTATGAAAGTTTTGAAATACATAAAACACCTCACTCTTATCTTTCATCAGATATACCCAAGTGGCCCCAGAACAGTCATCTATGAAAGTAACAAACCATTTTTGACCTTTTAAGGACAGAAAATATGAGGGATCCTATACATCAGAATGAATCAAAGCAAATAGAACTGAACTTTTATTAATATAAGGAGCAAAGGAAGCTCTGTGTTGTTTTTCAAGTTGACAAGACTCACATTGAAAATCGGACACATTATTTTTCTCAAAAATAGAAGGAAATAAATGCTTAAGTAGTAAAAATGAGGGATGTCCTAAACGACGGTGCCACAACCAAAGGTCTCCCTTAGTGGATGGTAACTGAATAGATGAATGAGCCAGCTTGTCTATCTGATCCAAAATATAAAGACCTTGTTCTGCTCTACCACTACCAATCCTCTTCCCCATGATAAGGTTCTAAAAAAGACAATGATCAAGAAAAAACATCATGCTACAATTCAAGTCACGAGTAATACGACTCAAAGATAAAAGATTAACACTAAAATTGGGAACATGGAGGACAAATGATAAAATAAGGGAAGATGTGGCATGAATTAAACATTTTTCGGACACAGACGAAATGGTACCATTAGCAATATGCACTTTTTCCTAACCTGAGGAGGGGTTGTACTCTGAGAACAAATGAGATGAACCAGACATATGGTCGGAAGCACCAGAATCAATAATCCATGGCACAGTTGTATGAGATAGCAATGCACGTGAGGAGGAAGCCAAGTTACCTAAATTGGCAAAGAAAGAAGAAGATACACCTGTGGTGGAAGTGGAGGCTTGACGGTCTAGCAAGTGGCGAAAAGCAATCTCAAAATCTAAGACAGGTATCCCTGAAATATTAGCAGTAGGTGAGACAACTGGAGATGAAGATGATGGTTCAACCATGTCTGAAAGATGTGCCCAAGCATTGGCCCCTACATTGACCAAACCTACCCCCTCGAGTACCAGGACAGTCTCCTCGGCCACTAGAAGGAGTCCCATGCAGCTTCCAACAAGTCTCTCCTGTGTCAAGGTCAACAGTAATAGTCACAAAAAAGATTATCTTTCTTAGAGGATGGATAAGAACCACGAGTCATATGCTCTCCATCACGATGAGGTACAGAAACCAAGGCTGAGCGATCAGTAGTGGCAGAAAGAAGCATCCCAGAGCGGCGACTCTCCTTATTCTACACAAAAGCAAAGTCTTCCTGGAGAGAAAGAAGCACGTCCATGCCAAGTACTCTGCTTCGAACTAGATCATACTCCACATTTAGGCCTTCCAAGAACTTAAAGACCTACTCTTGTGCCACAAACTTCCGGTAACCAGCAAAATTATTGGGACATACAGGCCTGTAATCTTGAAGGTGATCAAGCCGCTTCCACCCATTGCTCAGGAAGGTAAAATATTGAAGGATAGTCGTCTCTCCTTGTACCAACCTTTCAATGGAGCGATGTAACTCGAAAGCCTGTGAGAAGTTCCCCTTCCTAGAGTAAGGAGTAGCTATAGCCTCCCAAATATCCTGGGCAATGTCCACAGACAAGTAGCCCTCTCTAATCTCTGGTACTATAGAATGTATCAACCAACCTATGATCAGAGAGTTGGTGATCTCCCTCTAGTCATAACTAGGATTCATGGTACTGGGTGTCTGTATCATTCCATCAACATACCCCATCTTCCCTCTGCTCTTTAAAAAAATAGTCAGACTCTGCGGTTAGGCTAGATAATTCTGACCATTAAATAGAGAGGTGGTGATTTTTAGGCCGGGTTGAGGTTATCAGTCATAGTAGAAGGTATAATGGAACTCTCGCTCTTAGGTAGCTGAGAAGTAATGGACTCACTAAGGGAATCTACCATGGATACTCTCCTATTTAACTCTCAAACACAATGGCAATCACAAACCCGGAAGATAATAGTGGAAGGAAAAACACAACTACTCCTATGAAAGCATAAAGAATTAATAACCCTTTCTTTTTTTTTTTGAGAAGAAAACAGAGAAGAAAGAAGAAAGTTTATATGTGTATGTACCAAGACAAGAGCTCAGACCATTCGTGAGGCACTGACTAACCAGAGGACAATGAAGCAAGTGGACTAGACCAGGGGCTGCCGATAGGCCTAGAGGAAGACAGAGAAGGCCTCCAGAAGTGCTGACAGACCTATAAGGACAGGCTAGGGTTGTCGACAGGCCTAGTGGAAGACAGAAGAAGCTTCGGCTGCCCTAGTAGAGAGTCAATTGAGCTTCGACTTAATTGGGTAAGGGCGGAATGGCTAAGAGCTTCCTTTGGTTGGCCTAGGTAGGGGTCGACTGTCCCAGGCAAGGGTTTGGGTGGCCTGGGCAGTCCTTCTATGGATGAAAGGTGGCTATGATTGGTGTTAGGTTCCTCCTATTGTGGCTCTGATACCATTTAAGTTTAGAGAAAAGAAAGAGATAGGAAATGAGTGAGACTTCATTCCCTTTTATATTAAGAATAAAGCATAATTACAGGAGTGCCATAAGGCATGAATTATGGGTTACATCAATCAAGGAATAAAAACAAATCATATTGTGGGAGCCGATAATATGGGGGCAATAAAGCCAAATATAAGTATGAGGACAGTCAAGGACCGAATTTGTATTCGGCTTCATTCTGGATGATCTCAAAGCCGAATATATTAATCAGCCGTGGATCTAGTCGAACGAAGGCTGAATATATAAGCGTGCAATAGACCAGGGGTGGACCCGACCCTGAGGCCCAAAAGAAAAATATAAATAGAGGAGCATCAGCCAAAGGAAAAAAAAAAGGGTAAGAATAAGTAAGTTTGACTTGAGATTCAAGATTCAGAGAATAGACACTGACTTATCCGTCGGAGTGCTAATTCCGGCACCTCCGACCGAAGTGTTCATTCCTTTTCAGGTGACTAGCTGAGGATCAAGAGCGTCTTACAGGATCCAGAGAGTATTTCCAAATCACCTCACCATAATTGGCGCCATCTGTGGGAATACTCAAGTACATCCATGGCGGGCGTAACGGAAGATCCTCCGATAGTCGATGACGAAACTACACCGAGAGATGACCTCACTCCAAGAATCATGCTGGGACCGGAGAATATCGCTGCGCGATGTGCCTTGAACTTTGACTCAGTAGCTCAGACCTCACCCTCAACTTCAATACATGAGACAATACAGACAATTATAGATCAAGCAAACCCAAATGAACAGCAGCTGGAGAACAAGATGGCTGAGAATGAGCGCCTGTGCCAAGATTTGGCCTTGGAGGTGGCGAAATCCCAGCAAGCCGCATGTCAAGACTGGGATCGACCTTCGGGAAAGAAGGATGGTCGTCGACGCTGACTTCAGACTCGCCATCCCCGAAGCCCAGAAAGAAAGGGCGCGTCGATGCATCTAGCTCGTCTGAAGGAAGCCCATATGAACGGCATAGACGAAGAAAAAGCGATGATTCGGATGAGGAAGATAAACATGACCCATTCATGCAACGAATTTCCAGGGCTGTGCTACCCAAAAATTTCAAGGCACCGTCGTTCACCCTCTACGATGGAAAATCAGACCCCACTGATCACATTCGTCATTACAAGCAAGCGATGACGCTCCATACGGACGACGAAGCCCTCATGTGTCGGATATTTCCAACCAGTCTGGGACCACTAGCCGTGAGATGGTACTATAAACTGGAGTCAGAATTGATTAAGAACTTCTACCAACTCCAAAAGTTATTCAGGACGAGATTCATCACTGATGAGGTCCAGCCGAAGCAAGCCGATTCTCTTTGGGCCATGCAAATTAAATAGGAAAAAACTCTTCGTGAATACTCGGCCCACTATTGGTAGATGATGCTTGCAATGATTCCATGGCCATCACCGCCTTTAAGATAGGATTGCATCCTGATAGCCCCATCCGCAATTCGTTAACTAGACGTCCCCCAAAAATCATCTGGGCATTAATGAAAAAGGTCGAAGAGTACTGCAAAGTAGAAGACGATGCCCTTCGAGTCAAAGCCGAGCATAAAGTCATTCAGCCAGCCACGTTGGGAATTGTTTAGCCAATTAATGTCATGCCGTCAAGAAGCCCCGAGCGGCAGAATCGACCTAAACGGGACAAAAGGCATGATTCGCGCTGATCAAACAACCAATGTCCACATCGAGCTAATGAACAATATCAAATGGATAGCAGGCGGGCAAGGCGTCCAAGCAAGAAATACACAGAGCTGACAGAGCCGATTGATAAGATTCTGTCAAAAAAAACAACACCTTCCGTTCTTCAAGTGGCCGCCCAAGATGACTGGACCCCCCCGATGCGAGGAGACAAGATAAACGATGTGAGTATCATAAGGACGATGGCCACGACACCGATAGTTGTTTTTCTTTAAGAGATCACCTAGAAGAATTGGTGCAAGACGGCCATCTTACGCAATATGTCGGAAAGAACAGTTCAACAAATACAGTAGCTCTACGGCCGGAGTCACCCCCTCTTGGTGTAATTCATATGATATACAGCTTGCCGGCACCACCTGAGGTACACACAATCCAGTTGCTGTCTAGCACCCATAGCTTAATGACGCCAGCGAAACGGCCACGCAACACTGGAAGGATTAGTTTCGATGACAGTGATTTAGTTGGAGTGACCCACCCCCACACTGATCCCCTCGTCATCGAGCTACATGTAAACAGATTTACCATCAAACGTGTTCTCATTGACCAAGGCAGCACTTCAGAGATAATGAATTACAAAACTTTTGTCAAGCATGGTTTTACCGATTCGCTCCTATCTCCGGCTGATTATCCTTTATTTGGCTTCAATGCTAGCCTGGAGTACCCTTTGGGCAAGATCACACTGCCTGTACGGGCCGGAACCAAATCAATAGACGTAGAATTTCTAGTTGTTAAGCTCCCTTCGCTGTATAATCTAATCATGGGCAGAACTTGGTTACATACAATGCAAGCCGTGCCAAGCACCTACCATCAACTGCTCCGTTTTCCGATTGAATACGATATTAAACAAATTTGCGGCTCTCAAAAGTCGACGCAAGCATGCTATCTTCTAGCTGCAAAGAGACCGAGGGAACTAGAGGTGCATTTAATTGAAGTACTGGATAGGGAGAGTCTCGACGACATTGGGAGGATCCCAAGTGAAAAAGCAACCGAAGCCCTGCACCAGGTCGAAATTGATAGAAATCTTAACCAGCTCTTCATGATCGGCGCTTCCTTGGATAACGTCGAACGGCAGGAATTAGTAGCCTTCTTACTCAAAAATATTGATATGTTTGCATGGTCCCCATACGAAATGCCAGGAGTAGATCCATTGGTAGCCCAACACCGCTTGAACGTTGATCCAAAGTGTAAGCCAATAATTCAAAGAAGCCGGCGGACGGCCGCGGAGCATACTTCGGCCGTCGTTGAAGAGGTAGATAGGTTACTCGAAACCGAGGCAGTTCGCGAAGTAGCTTATCCTACATGGTTGTCTAATACTGTGGTCGTGAAGAAGAAGAATGGTTCTTGGCGCGTCTGCGTGGATTTTACAGACTTGAACAAAGCTTGTCCCAAGGACTGTTTTCCCTTGTCCATAATCGACCAACTCGTAGATGCAATGGCACATCATCAACGCATGAGCTTCTTGGATGCCTACAGAGGCTATCATCAAATTGCCATGCATCTAGAGGATCAAGAAAAAATCGCATTCCTCACCCCAAGAGGAACCTATTGCTACAAGGTCATGTCTTTTGGGCTGAAGAATGCAGGGGCAACTTATCAAAGACTACTGACTTCCATGTTCAAGGAACAACTCGGCCGTACCATGGAAGTATGCATCGACAATATGGTAGTCAAATCCAATGAAAAGCACTCCCATTTAGCCGATTTGTCAGAGACATTCGGCATTCTTCGAAAATACAAGATGAAATTGAACGCTTCTAAGTGTGCATTTGGCATCGGCTCTGGCAAATTCCTTGTCTACATCGTTAACCACCGAGGAATCGAAGCCAATCCAAGACAGATCACAGCAATTCTAGAGCTTGGATCCCCTCGATCAGTGAAAGAGGTTCAGAAGCCAATGGAGATGGACGCTGTTCTCAACAGTTTTATCAGCCGTTCAACAAATCGCTGCCGACAATTCTTTCACACTCTTCGGCAAGGCAGAGCATTTGATTGGACTCCCGTGTGCTAGGCCGCTTTGGACGGCCTGAAATCTTACCTCCGATCAGTTCCACTCTTGGCAACTCTTGCAGCCGGTGATCCACTCATTCTGTATCTGGCAGTATCTGACCAGGCAGTCAGCACCGTATTGTTAAAGGAAGAACTAGGGGAGCAGAGACCAGTTTACTATGTGCGCAAAGCTATGGTCGACGCCGAGACACGTTACCTTCCATTAGAAAAGCTCATCCTTGCTCTCGTCATGGCTACAAGAAAACTAATGCACTACTTTCAGGGTCATACCATTGGGGTGCCAACGGAATATCCCCTCTAGTCCGCACTCCGCAGCACGAAAGCGTCTGGGCGCGTCTAGAAATGGGCTCTTGAACTCAGCCAGTACGATATCCAGTTTCTACCCAGAACTTCCATCAAAGGGCAAGTGCTTGCCGACTTTGTTACCGAGTTCATAGGATCCCTAGCCGACTTTAAGTTTGATCAAGCGCAAACTAAGCCTGACTGGAGGATGTATGTTGGCGACGTTTGGCAGATGTATTGTGATGGGTCATCCAACCAGCATGGCTATGGGGCTGGCATAGTAATTATGACCCCTGAGGGGGCAATAATCGAACAGGCTGTCAAATTGGGATTCAACGCATCAAATAATGAGGCCGAATACAAAATACTGTTAATCGGCCTGCGAAACGCACTTCACCTCGGTGCATGGCGTCTACTTGTTTTCTGTGACTCAAAGCTAGTAATCAACCAATTGAAAGGGGAATATGCAGCCAAAAATGACCGCATGGCAGCCTATATGAAAACAGCGAATTCTTTGCTCGCGAAATTTGATCAACACAAACTGAATCAAATAACCCAAGATCAGAACACACATGCAAATGCCCTGGCTTGCCTAGCCTCTGCTATCAACTCAGAAATTAAGCAGACAATTGAAGTAGGGTTTGTCCTAGAGCCGAGCATTGCCTCTTCAAAACCATTTCAGGTTAACGTTATCGAACCAGGTCCGAGTTGGATGGACCCTATCACCACATTCCGATCTTCAAAATAGCTCCTGAGGGATAAGAAAGAAGCACACAAGCTCTGAAATAGAGCCTTCCGATATTATTTGGATCCACAGGGAAAGCTCTACAAAAAATCTTTCTCCGAGCCATACTTAGAGTGCGTTCACCCGGACAAAGTCAAGGAACTCTTGTTTGAAATACATGAAGGCAGTTGTGGTGCCCATTCGGGCAAACGTTCTCTGGCTCACCGCGCCGTATCACAGGGGTACTATTGGCCGACTATGCGCATCAATGCCAAATGTTATGTCAGGAAATGCGCTCAATGCCAGAAGTTTTCCCCTTTAACTCACCTGCTAGCCGAGGAGTTAAATTCTATCACTAGCCCTTGCCCGTTTGCTCAATGGGGCCTTGATATCGTCGAACCATTACCACGGGCCCCAGGCAACAGGCGATTCTTAATTGTTGCGACTGATTATTTCACAAAATGGGTCGAAGAGGAGGCACTAACACATATTCGAGACTCCGACATTAAGCGTTTTGTGTGGAAAAACATCATAACAAGATTCGGCATACCACAAGCACTTGTTTCTGACAACGGTACCCAGTTCGATTGTGGTTTATATAGAGAATTGTGCGACACTTATGGTATCCGGTCCTATTTTTCCTCGCCAGCTTACCTCCAGAGCAATGGTCAAGCGGAGGCTACCAACAAGGTTATTTTGGACGGCATCAAGAAAAGGCTGGAGAAAGCTAAAGGCAAATGGGTCGAAGAGTTGCCCAGTGTGTTGTGGGCTCATCGCACTACTCCGAGGCGATCTACTGGGGAAACGCCGTTTGCTCTATGCTTCGGAACCCAGGCAATCATCCCCCTGGAGATCGGCCTCCCAACCTTGAAATCTAAAGTTTTTGATATGGGCCAAAATGACATGACGTTGGCTTTAGACTTGACTCTAATTGAAGAACGCCGAGACTGCGCCCTTGCTTCCATGGCACGGTACCAGCAACAGCTCGCTAAATCATATAATCAGCGTGTTTAGTTATGTCACTATACACCAGGAGAATTGGTCCTCAAGAAAATGCTACCCGCTGCTAGGATTCCTGCCGACGGAAAATTGGGTTCCAACTGGGACGGCCCCTATCAGATTGACTCAATCACGGGGACAGGGGCATATCGACTCAAAGACATGGATAGAAGAAGCCTGCCACGTCCGTGGAATTCCACACACTTGCGCAAATTTTATCATTAACTCGTGCGGCAGGACAACTTGTTTTGATTTTTCGCCATGTACGTGTTTCCTTTTTAATATAACGTTCTCTTTTGCCCGGTTAGTTGTTCGCCAAAAAGCCTCCGAATTTGGAGCGCCCTTCGTGGAAATCACGATTGGCCAAGAGAATGAGCCTCCGAATTTGGAGCGCCCTTCATGGAAATCACGATTGGCCAAGAGAATAAGCCTCCGAATTCGGAGTGCCCTTCGTGGAAATCACGTTTGGGCCAAAAAAGTCTTCGAATTTGGAGCGCCCTTCGTAGAAATCACGTTTGGGCCGAAAAAGTCTCTGAATTCGGAGCGCCCTTCGTGGAAATCACGATTGGGCCGAATAAGCCTCCGAATTCGGAGCGCCCTTCGTGGAAATCATGATTGGCCAAGAGAATAAGCCTCCGAATTCAGAGCGCCCTTCGTGGAAATCACGTTTGGGCTGAAAAAGTCTCCGAATTCAGAGCGCCCTTCATGGAAATCACGATTAGCCAAGAGAATGAGCCTCTAAATTCGGAGTGCCCTTCGTGAAAATCACGATTGGCCAAGAGAATAAGCCTCTGAATTCGGAGCACCCTTCGTGGAAATCACGTTTGGGCCGAAAAAGTCTCCGAATTCGGAGCGCCCTTCGTGGAAATCACGATTGGCCAAGAGAATAAGCCTCCAAATTCGAAGCGCAATTCGTGGAAATGACGATTGGCCAAGAGAATAAGCCTCCGAATTCGGAGCGCCCTTCGTGAAAATCACGTTTGGGCCGAAAAAGTCTCCGAATTCGGAGCACCTTTCATGGAAATCACAATTGGCCAAGAGAATAAGCCTCCGAATTCGGAACGCCATTCGTGGAAATCACGTTTGGGCCGAAAAGGTCTTCGAATTCGGAGCGCCCTTCGTGGAAATCACGATTGGGCCGAATAAGCCTCCGAATTCGGAGCGCCCTTCGTGGAAATCACGATTGGCCAAGAGAACAAGCCTCCGAATTCAAAGCGCCATTCGTGGAAATCACGTTTGGGCCGAAAACGTCTCCGAATTCTGAGTGCCCTTCGTGGAAATCACAATTGGGCCGAATAATCCTCCGAATTCGGAGTGCACTTCGTGGAAATGATGATTGGCCAGGAGAATAAGCCTCCGAATTTGGAGCGCCCTTTGTAGAAATCACGCTTGGGCTGAAAAAGCCTCCAAATTCGGAGCGCCCTTCGTGGAAATCACGTTTGGGCAAGGCAAAACTCCTCTGAATTCGGCGCTCTTTTCGTGAATATTGTGATTGACAAGCATAAACGCAACTGATGAGAAATTGAAGATGATCATAGCCGAATTTATAAACATAAAATTGAAATAACATGCCAACATTTAAAATAATATGTTTCATTGAATTAATCGATAGTACATAATTCGCTTCCTATCTACGTTAGAGCGGTACAATATGTTCAGTTTCATTCGGCATCCCTCTCGTCATCGCTTTTCTCGACTTCGAAAGTCGCGAACGGAAAATGATGACCCTGATATAACGAAGACGCTGAATCAACGCCTGCTGCCCGAAGAGCATCTGCAGCTTGGACAGCCTTGATCCACCCTTGCTTAAATCCACAATTCTCGCACCGGCAGACCTCTTCGGCGAGCTTCTCCTTAGTCTTCTGTATCCCAACTTTTCGGTCGTTATGGAAGCCTTGTTCATAAGCCCTAGCCTTTACAGACTCTATTGCAAACATGTTTGCCATATCTCGATCGACAATCGCATGACTTATGAGCCGTTGGGTCACCCTTTCTTCCACAATCGGGTTAGCTTGGCCGGCCGACTGAGTCTCAGCGGTTTTGACTTTTCTTAACTCCCTCTCGGCTTTCTCCACGCGAGCTTCTAAATTACGAATGCGTTCATCTTTCTGTTCGATCTCCCGTCGCGCAGCACGAAGGCGCATGCCGATCTCATAGGCGATGTATAGTCCTTTCACAGCTCCGTGAACGCCCTCTCGAAACACTTCGAAATCTTGTCAACCAACCATCAACTGCTGGACTTCTGGAAAAAAATCTCTCGTGCAAATTCAACTGCAACGCTTAGATCTCGGATGATTGAATCTGCTTCCGTCATCGGTTTATTCCCGATAAAGACTGAAAAACTCAACGGGCGCAGTGGCCCACTGGCCTCACTTCGCGAATGAGGGGAGTTCCCCTACTATCGCTTCTCGTTTCTAGGTGACCAACTTCGACGATGTGGGGAATGGCGCCTCTTCCGCTCCCCAGACGTCCTACTTCCCGCTCATGAAGGTTCCCCACCTCGATTCATCGCTAAGTCCAGCTCAGCCAATGTCTTTCCTTCTCATCTACTATTGAAGAATAGTCTACATGACATTCACACTTATCTAACCTTCTTCGACAGACCGGTTTGAATTGAGTTTGAACACACTAATGGGACCTACGCGTGCGAAGCAACCACCCTTTTTATTACCCGTGGATGCACCGCTCCCAAAGCAATCTCTTCAATGCTGCCCCAGCCAATTCATAAATGGCTAATAATTGGCGGCCACATTCACTAATCTGCTGGGGCAAGGGCAGATGCACTAGTATATTCAGCTTAACAAAGCTAAGCAGTTAATTTTGCGCCGAATTAATTTTAATAGTTACGTTAAAAACTTTACGCAGATTTATTAATCTTTTCGGCCTCACATCAGTCCTTTGTGCCGAAAAGATAGACTGCCCCAGCCAATTCATGAATGGCCGATAATCGTTGGCCACGTTCACTAATCTACTGGGGCAAGGGTAGATGCACTAGTATATTCGGCTTAACAAAGCTAAGCATGCACTAGTATATTCGGCTTAACAAAGCTAAGTAGTTAATTTTGCACTGAATTAATTTAATAGTTGCGTTAAAAACTTTACGCATATTTATTAATCTATTCGGCCTCACATCAATTCTTTGTGCCGAAAAGATAGACTGCCCCAGCCAATTCATGAATGGCCGATAATCGTTGGCCACGTTCAGCAATCTGCTGGGGCAAGGGCAGATGCACTAGTATATTCGGATTGACAAAGCTAAGCAATTAATTTAGCACCGAATTAATTTAATAGTTGCG